ATTTTATTTCCTCCTGCAACTACTCACAAGGATACCCACCAAACACTGGTACCCCACACTCATTGGTCCTTCGAATAACCCCCGACATTAGGTCAAACGAGCAGGTTCAGGTTAGTTTAGAACTTGATCCCCCATCATTTGGTCCATTCGAGCAGGATCAGGTTAGATTAGAACTTGATCCCTCAACACCAGGAAAGATAGGAATATCATACCAAGTACACGCAGTCAGCAAAATAAATCAGATCAAAAATTGCAAATAAAAAATATCTTATGTATTTTTTTGTTACAACAACCGGTTAGGATTATAAAGTAAGATGTGTGTATTAGAGTAGATAAAAACTAAGCTCATCTCACAAAAAGGGTCGATAGGTGTGTGGAGAGAGTTATATCCACTAGGGCTCGGAATTTTTTAAAACCTGAAATTCGAATACTCGTTTAGTGATTTATTCGAATAGTAAAATTATTCGAATACTCGAATATCTAACGAATAATCGAGTATTCGAATATTCGAGTATTTGAATACTCGAGTATTCGAATATTCGAGTATTCGAATATTCGAATACCACACGAGAACCACACAGGGGGAAGTAAAGTGACAGGAGCGACCGGGTGCAGAAGAGGTTAAGCCCCGCGTGTCTGAAGAGCGAGTTTTCCGTGTGTTTTTGTTATTGTTTGTGAAGTTGACGGTAATTTTGAAGTTAGTTTGTTCCTGTTCCGCATTTAAAGTTGTACCGAGTGGAATAAAAGTTGGAAGCAGAAGAAAGAGTTTGATACTCGGCCATCCACGGTACAATATATTCGAACTAATATATATTCGAACCAAATATATTTACAAATATATCTACAATTGTGTGGTACAATGTTCTATTTTCCAAAGTAAATGTAAAAAACGAAAAAAAGTCGCCAAACTTTTCAAGAATTGGCCAAACTTCTTACTTTGTTTGAGAGACCTAAGCCTTTACATGAAAAAAATACCAAGACTTGCTAACTTTGCTAGACTATGTTCCACCAGTCCACCATAACTTTTATCGTCAACTGGTCCACTGTCAACGTGTAGAAGAAGGCCACAGCGTTCTTGAAGCAGTTCACAGGGAGGAAGACTTGATATAGATATCAGTTTGAATGAAGTTTTGTTCCTTAAAAATATGTTATGTACAAATAAAAATAAATAATTTTGTAAAACAATCTCTTTTTATTTCGAGGTTTATGAAAAAAAAACTTATACTTATACAAAAGTGACCCAAGCCACATTGAACGTCCTATTTAAAAAAAAATGGTTCAAATTACAAGGTGATTCAAAATTGGCGTCATTTCTTTTAAGGGGTAATAGGAGCTCACTTGGACGGTACGAGAACAATATTGAAATAATTTTTTTCAATTATTTCTAAAAGATATTAACAGTTGAAGATCAAATTTCAACTTTGTTAGTAAGCATTATTTAGAAATTGTTCCATGTTCAATTGGTAGCATATTGGAATACTTAAGCATTCAAAAAGAAAAATTACGATTTTGCTTCAAATTACGAAAATTTTTGATATCAAAAAAGTTCTCTTCTACAATTTTTTGATGAAAAATCACAGCGGAAATGATGTTTTCTGTCATTAACAGATAGGTACAGGTGGATAGCCCTTGTCAATAAAAACAATATGTTGTCAAACTGTGACTTACTTTGAATTTCCTTTCACGAATTTGCGGATATGCCCTTAGTTCAGCGGAAATGCTACAGTAACATAGCAGAAGCTGAAAGAACTCATGCCAACAAAGGGCAAGGAAAGTGGTTCCAGGAAGATTCCCAGGCACCAAATAAATACCGGCTACATTCCTACCACGTTTGTACGAGACACACAGCACAAGGAGATACAAATGGAGCACGAGTTAATTAACTGAATACGAGAGGCTACTTGTTAAGAGTGGCTAATAAGGAGATTACACAGGCACTAGCTTGCTTGGAGTTAACCATTCAAATGTTTAGTGTTGTATGGATTATTTATGTAAACACCAAACCCCGCAGAATTCGAGGTTATGAGACCAGGTTGACATTTCGAAAGTACGTTGCGCAGTCAACGAATGTTGTTGAATTTACCGTTTATCCTTGTCTACCTTATTGTCACTCTGTATAATTCCATGGTTACCGAAGTTTTAAATAACTACGAAGCCACAGGTATTTGCGCAATGTTAATTAGACAGATTACCTTGAAAAACATTGCTGCCGTATTTCTGATATAGTTTTTTGAAAATTTATCAGTTTTAATAACAATTAATTTCTTTTACTATTTTTTCTGTACTCCTGTAACAGCGCCAGACACCACCTCCAGAGGAATGACGCCCTTCTTGAATCACCCTGTATATGTACGGTATATCGAACACTAACCCAAATGCATATAATTGTTTTTAAGTGCCTTTAATAATCATGTAGTTAATCTTTAATAATTTAAACATTTTTTCTTACTGTTATTTCCATAAGAACAATTTTGGGCTTGAGACAATTTTGGGGTTGACAAGACACTTTTTTATTTGTAATAAAACAAGGAATTTAAAAAGTATTTGTAATAATTAAAAAATATTGTGGCGTAGCATTTTTTTCTTTAACATATTTGGAAGCGTGCACGCCACTGGCAAAAATTAACAAAATTATTTTATGCAAAACATGCGCTTTCCCTAGCTATGGATCGTATCGATTTCGTATTAAAAATTTCGTTAAAATATCTCCATGCGTTTTGAAGAAATTCATCATTTTGTATTTTTTTAAATGGGAATTTAATTCCCTGTAAATCACGAGCAAAGCATTATTCGGTGATCAGCGATATAGAAAGCGACGGTTATTTTTGGACCTAGAATAAGTTGTTAAAGTAATGCCCCTTCCTCATAAAACACCTTTGATAAGTGCTTCAAACTTATATAGATAGCATAATTTTTTGATGCAATTATCTGTTTAGATAAAAGAATCAAATGATTATTGCTTTATCATAAGTTAAGGTAAAAGTGAAATTAATGCAGTGAATGTTTGTGACGGTTGATTTGCAAAATGAAAGTGAAGAAAACTATATTAATTTTGATGGCAATCAGTTATGCAGGTAAATGTTCAATTTGAAAATGATTAACTGAAAATAATTCAACTACTTATTAGCAAATGCGTATGAAACTATCCAATGTGCGGATGTTTTGAAAAGTCACAGCTCAGCTGATGATAAATATTTAGAAGTAACTCAATTAAAAGGTGAGTAAATATAGCTATTCCTAGATACAAGGTGTATACAATTTTTGCTTCAAATGATTTGCCGTAAATAGAGTTTTGAATCACAGTCCAAAAATATAAATTTTATATCTTACTCAGTCACTCCACCTAGAAAGTGCAAAGATCCAAACATGTTTTCCGTAGCAAAAATTATTGCATATTTTGAGTGATTTAATTTTGTATTGTTCCATAGTTTTGGAAATTTTGTGTTAAAGAAAGAATAGTTTTCAAAAATATATAAACTAAGAAAGTATCAATGCATTTTAAATAAAAACTAGATGATACATTTTCGATTACAATCCACCTAGCTAGCACAACACGTCATCAAAAAATGTAGTTTTTGTACTGTGTAACTAAGCGATTTGTTTATCTTGTATTAGTGCTTATGAAACAAAATACTAGTTACACAATAGACTAATACTAGTACAAAATACTAAATATCAATGCATTTTAAATAAAAACTAGATGTTACATTTTCGATTACAATCCACCTAGCTAGCACAACACGTCATCAAAAAATGTAGTTTTTGTACTGTGTAACTAAGTGATTTGTTTATCTTGTATTAGTGCTTATGAAACAAAATACTAGTTTCTTTACATAAATCAAAGAAATAAAATCCCTCAGAAGTAAGTAAGTGCTAACTCAGAAGTGTATAACACGCTTCAACTGGCAAATACAGTAGCTTTATAATTCTATGATTTTATGAACATTTTGCTTCTGTCTACTAACTACTCCACTACAACCGTTTCAGGGTCCGCTGCTGCAACTCTAACAAACTGTATCGAGCAATGGCAAGTGGTGAAGATTTGTGAAGAAAGCCCACACACAAAGTGGATTAATTGCGATGTTTCTGCAACAACATCACGTGGAGACCCTTCTGGCTCAACACCATCCACGTATTGGCGCAGTAATACTTTACATCTACCTCTAAGCTTCAAACCTAGCACGAAAGCACCAAGTTACTTCAATGGTGATCTGGATGAAGAAAGTGACATATTCGGAGATAAATTTCAACTTGCCGTTGAGTCTTTAGATGAAGTTGCGTTGTTCAATTCGATAGGCCAATTATCAGAAGATGAGGAAGAAGGAGAAATCACAACACTGGAACCCGATACATCAACTTCAACATCGACTTCAACAACGCCAGCTTCAACAACAACCCCAACTCCGACAACATTGACGCCAATTTCTTCTACAGACTCAACTATCCCAACTTCACGGCTGCCCAGAACAACGCCGGAAACTTCAGGCTCTGAATCTTCATCCACTGTTTGGATTATGTTAGTGCTATATCTTGGATGGGGACTTTTAATTTTGTGATTGCATGTTTTCGCAGTGTGAGTGAAGGTCGTATTATTGATATAATACCTAAATAATAACATAAGTGAAAATATATAGTCGTGTGTGTTAAGATCATTCAACTTGACTCAGACCCTTAACGCGTGTTTCCAAACTTGTGGCATCAATATTTTAGAAATTTAAATTCATCTACGAAGAATTATTCTGACTGAACTAGAAAAATTGCAAGTTCAAAGTTGAAATATTCACTTATAACTCTCCATACTTGAGTATTCCCAAAGGCATTTGCCACCATTTTTTATGCCCAACAATGCGGTCATATAGTCAATAATCACACAAAACTGAATGTGCAGCTAAAAGGACGCGCTTAATTTTCCGCAAATGGTGTACAATAAATTGTTTAGGCCGTCAAATTGGGGTCAAATAATCCCGAAATGATGTGACCATTGAATGGTTGTCCTATATATGTGTATTATTCTTTGATTTATACCAGTTTTAATTAATCTGCTGTATTTCACAATATGGCCATCTGACTTTTTTTTTGGAAAAACTGCATAAATGGTTTGATATTTCGAAGCGCTTCACTACAATGTAAGTACCTATGTGAAGTTTTTTATTTGATAAGTTATGATTTTTCCCAGTTTGTTACATTTAGATCTAGACAACCTTCCACTCTGTTTTTTTAACAACTACTAGAACTATTTTTATTTCTTCAAAGAAATTAGGCAAATGAACAATTTTCGTTTCTGTTCATATTATTTTCAGTAAAGTAACGCTTAAAATGGCCCATTTTTTTAATTTTTGCCTCAAATATGACGCCTTTTTGATCATAGTGCAAGTGTTAGGGCTACACCACTTGTTCGTCCATCACTGAATGGATAATTAAAAACCGCTTCCTTCAAGTGGAACCTGATTAAGAAAATAGTAGCGATTTTCGCACAAAAGAAGAAATGTATAGGTACTCATTTGAAAGATGGAGGCACGACGATAGTTTCAAACATGATGTCACCTTTTTGCCCATACCTCAAGAGCAAATTGAGTTAGAAAACTCAATTTTACACCATTGCATATAGAATTAACTGGGCAGCAAAGCATCACTTTGAAAATATTGGCAGGTTTCACGCCAAAACGGATTTTAACGTGTTTTTCAGTTTTACGCAGTTTTGCCAAAATTAGATAGTCGGCTCAAACATACCGCCTTTCCGCTATCTTAAGAACAATGAGTTGCAGCGTTCCTGTATTCCCGACTGAATCTAATGTTTAGAGTGTCATTCACTAAGTAAAATTTGATTGAGGAAATAGCAAAAACTAAATATCACACATTTAACTACAATTGAAGGCGATCATTTCAGACGTGACGCCGTATTCTTGCTCATATCTCCGGAACAAATTGCACTGGAACGCTGATGGTTACATCACTACATAAAGAATTTATTTGCACATTTACACTGCAAAACGCATCATACTAAATATGGCGATTTCTAGAGCAGAAACGATACTTCAACGTGTTTTCTAGTTTTACAAGGTGTTGGTACCTACATTTCGTCAATCGGCTCAAAATGGCGGCTTTTTTGATCACATCTTAGGAAACGAATTAGCCGTTTCTTCACTCTAATATGTAAATTTAAATGTAATCCATTCACTACAAGACCAACTGAGTAAATGCATAAAAATGCTGCTGCTTTAAACACATTTATTTACTTGCCATTTAAATAAGAGCTAACAAAACGTACTTCTTATCTTTTGAGTAAATAATTTAGAGCTTGGAAGTCGATAAATTATTAAGATAAAGATCACAGAAAAAGTTTAATTACATAGATCTGTTGTAGATTAAAAACTACTTTTTATAAACACACTATAATGTAAAATAAATAATATGAAATCAATAATGGTAGTTTTCGATACAAGGGCGAAAAGTGCCGTTTCGAGTGTCGCACCCGAGATGAAGTCGCGGGTGTCAATCAGTCAGCAGTAGGGCACGATGTCGCGGAGCGGCGAGTACGTAATTCCATGAGTACGTGAATGCGTTACAACTCGAATTATGTACCATACTTTACCTACGACCGTACCTAATAACTTACTAAAACTGAACGAAAAATGTGTATATTTGTAAATATGTCAGTTTTGACAACAATTATAACGTTGACAGTAGGCCAGAATGACAAATTAAAACGTCATTATAAACAAATATTCATAAGCAAATATTACAAAAGTTACATTTTCCCGACAATGTTGTTTGTGGACAAAATATTGGACTTCTTGGTTTTAACCCATCAGACTCACTTTTCAGTAGGGTAAGTATTTTTAATACAAGATACAACGTTTATATTGTGATGAATGATGACAGGACTGTGCGTTTGGTTTGCCGTTCGTTTAGTTTACAATGCGTAAAATGGAACGTACTTAGATGGTATAAAGTGTGTTTTATACTCCTTTCAGTAGTGGTCGCAGGTAAAAAATATAATGACAGTGATACGTTCAATTTGTCACATTTACTTTTGCGCACATGTGCGTAAAAGTAAATCAATTGAACATTAAAGAAATGTGCTTCTTGATGATCATCGCTTCCGATCGGAAAAGGGCACTTTTAGATTTATTCGAATAAAAGCAAATTCAGCAAACGATATTGACTATGAGATTCAGCCAGGAATTCACAATGTTCAAGTTCGTTCTCGGCTTGATTTCTAAAGTATTGGGTAAGGCAAACCCAAAAAAATTACTAAGCAAATATGGACCAAACGAGGTAAAACGCTTTGAAAAACGAAGCAAAAGGAATGAATTTAGGACAAAGCATTGTACAGAATTTGAATAAAATTCCAGGTTACTATAAATACACTTGCCCTTCTTAAGTTATTGTTTCTAAGTTCTTACTTTCAGCACATAAATAGTAACAATTTATTTAATGTCGTTTTAAAAAAGTACTGTTCCCTACTTGTGCAGCGTTTATCGCTCTAGATTGTCACTAAATGTGATAATTATAGCGGTGAATAACTCCATATTTTTTCAAATGCTTATTCTCCATTAAAAATGTTTAAGCTGAACCAAACCGCAGGTTGTCGTTTTCTCGTAACGACTCCTTAGAATCGTAATTTTCTTCTCTTGTTTCGCCTCTAATTAAAATACCAGTCGTTAGGCAATTTCCGCAACATGTTCAGTTGCTCGACTGCTTTTATCTGCAGTAGAAAGTTGACTGCATTTTTGCGCTTTCCATTACATAGCATTGAATTGTGAACGTTTGCTTGAAGCAAGTAAATTAAAAAATATACTCACTTACCAAAAAAGCACAGCATAAACACAATGGTGTAAAGGCTGAGGAATATGGCTTTAACGTAGAATTTGTCAAAAATGTATTCAGGCTGGCCATAGATGGATGAGCCATTCCAGAATGTCGGTACTAAAGTTGAATTCCTCTCGATATATCCAATCGTGGATATTGGAGTCGAATTAACAGAAACAATGATGAGCGGGGATGAATATGGATCCAAAGTCATGATGGTCCTGAAGCGAAAAAACATTTTATAGAACGGTATTAGTTAGTACGCAATGGTTTATGGTACTGATGGTATAAAGATACAAAATATTGTTTGTAAATTCTATAGTCTTAGAACATGGGATGTCCAAAAAGTGTTACAAAACTAATCAAGCGAACATATAAACTGATTGGCAAAAAGAAATGAGCAAATCAAACAACCTCTTTTAGGAAATTTCGCAAACTTAATCAGAATAAAATATTTAACGTACTTTGCAAATTGAGCCGACTCTCCAACGGTAATTTCTAAATAATCAGAATTAATTTTACAATAAATTATACTTTCATCAATTTTAAATTATACATGGCAAAATATCTATGACATAAAAAACAACATTGAACTAGAAAACAAAAATTGATATGAAACAAATAAATTTCCTCATTTATACCATGCAATTGTATTACTCAATTGCCTCATCAAAATAGCCTTATTGAAGGATTAATGGCAACTTTAAAGTTTTCGCTGAGGTCTGGTTTTATTGTCTCATCATTTGATCTTAAAATAAATGTTTCTAAATTCTAATGCACACTGGAAAAAATGAGTCACTTGGGAACAACCTCGCTGTTGATTCAACATAATTTTCACATGTCATATATCAAAATATGAGTCTTATGAACAATAGATTAGAAAAACGGAGGTTATCTAAAAATTCTAACTAGGTATATCAAGATTATTTCAGCAGAACAGTGCAATTTCAATGAACACATGTTTTATTCGGATTTCTCTTTTTAACGTTTAAAATTATAACTGGTGTAGATACCAATAATCGGTTTAAAATACAAAGCTAATTCCCATTAGCTTTGTTTGTCCTGAAAAGTTAGGAAATTTGAAAGCAGTTAAAGGATTTAAATATAGACTGAAAATATAATCGAACAGGAAAAACTCTTTCCAGTGATTATTTTTGTAAGATCGCGAATTTGTATAGAATATTTCTATTTTGTAGTAATCCTAATTGTAGCTTATTTTCTGAACATTGTTTAAATCGCTATTAAAGTAATGAAAATTAAATTTAAAGGTTGGTTTTATAGTTTCACATCAAGACAAATCATAAGTTATCATTAAAACTAATCAGTCCGAAGAGTTGAAATCGACGAATGTTTCAAAATCTTGCAGTATTCCCTTTTTCAATTCATTGACCAAACTTGAGGTGTTTAGTTAATTAAGTTAAGTTAAATCAGCCTATTTTAATTTAAGATTTACGTGTTCAATTTCCCAAACTAAACCAAGCCAAAATGTATTAAACTATTACGATAAGATTAATCATTTTAGCAGTGACTTTTTTGCTAACTTTGACCCCTTTTCTATTTTTAGCGCAAATATAGCAAACTTATCTGGCGCCTTCAGCCCCATAGAAAAACCCTGAATAAAAATATTTAGGCTTATCCATTCAGCAAACAGATTTTTAGGGGTTTATTGGATCAGCTATGGTTCATTTTTCTATAGAAATGAAAACGTGGTCTGTACCCCTGACTGGAAAGAAGCTTGGATAATTATTTTGCATTTATTAGCAAGGAAATAAAATCCACAGCCTCCGACGCACTCAAGGCTTCAGCAAGTAATCGATTGCGCCTTTCTTTAGAAAGCGCTCGATGCAACTGCAAAAGTGTGAACTTCGGAGACAAAGAAAAAAACACTTTGCTGTGACTATTAAATTCCTTTTTAATATTTTTAGTTTTCAGTAAGCAATGCAGCCATAAAAATAGTACTGTTTAAATTGTATTCGCTTCAAACTTTCGTGAATTTTTCCCGTTTGTTTGCTGGCAAGGGATCAAGCTCAGAGCGCATATTTGCTTTTATTACAATAAATGCATCCATAAATCATTACGGTACAACAGGGTAACAAATTGAGTGGCATGTAGCATGACATTTCCATTTAGGTGTATTAGATGTGTGTTCCACTTGTCTTTCAAACGTCGGGCTATCTTGTTTCGAAAAAACTTTCGAATATTCGCTTGACAGACGTTGCCGAAGAAAATAACGAAAAATTGAATAAATCGATTCTGGATTCGAATGATGCAACGGTTATCTGAAATAAATCAAATCAAGGGGAACGCGTCTGAATCGACCGCATTACTACGGTTCTAAAACATAACTTACAATCAAATAATTTTTAATTTAGACGGCAATAATCGTAATTTAATTATAACTGTCTAACAATCTGTGTTTATTTTATGATTGGTGGTTACATCAGGAATTATATGTATAATATTGTTAGAGTATAATATTTTTTAGTTTAGATAATTTTAGTGTGGAAATATTCATGTTTTCCAAGAAACTGTATTTTTTTCTTTAATTTACATAATTGCCTTTGAATTGATTAGAAACCATTACTCAATATAACCAGTAGTATTTGTTTCTGTATTTTGAAGAATGTATAAGCTGATCTGTATGAAGAATGTATAAGCAGCAAATTATTTACATTTTCTATAAATATTCTATCCAAACTATTTTCGTAAGAAAATTTTACGATTTGTGCACAAAAACATACAAAATTTTGAACTTTGGCTTTAGATGGTTGGAAACATTATGAGCAAATTTCGTTGATCATCGAATATTAATAGAGTCCATCTGCTATAAAATGAATTTAGACCGAAAATGTTGTATATATAAAGCACAACTTTAACCCAGCCATTAATTTCGTTGAGGAAGTTAATAAAGTTAAATATTTCAATTTTATAGATCATAAAACTGACGAACTGATGCCTCACCGATCGAGAGTAAACATAATAACAAAACGGTTGCCTTTTTCCAATTTTGTTATTTTATTTATATGCCTTTGCCATAGGTCAAGCCGCTGAAGACTAAACAGAATATAAATCACTTAAATTCATTAACTACTTTCAGAGATATTTGATTTTCGTTGAAATTATCTTAATTGAAAAACATGCTTTTGGTTCAAATATTTAACAGTGTTTGTGTGCATTAATGTTTAATTATAGAAAAAAATTCACACACTTTTATTGCTTGGAGTCGCACTTATTCTACGTAATTTGAAGGAGTTCTAGCAAAAAGTTGATATTGCTATAAATAGAAGGAAAAACTAAACTAAACATGTGAAAACATCTATGTCAAAGTAAACACTCTAACAATTACGTAAACATATTAGACACATTAGCAGCATGTTCCGACTCAATTTTTCCAGTTCCCATCAAATTAAGCAAAAATATAAACAAAAAATGCGGTAGAATCAACAACACTTTGCTGCGGTGATCGTTTTCAACGCAGCAAAGTATGGGGACGAGCTCAATCAAGGAAGAAATTGTCAGAATAAAGTTTTAGAGATCACACTGAACTGAAAAAGCAGAAAGCAGAAAGCAAACATATTTACTGAAGTTGGGGTTAAAGGCCAATTGGGCTCAGACATTTGATGAAAATACAAAATGTACGCACAAAAGAAAAATGCACTAAAAAGTAGGTTTGAACTGTGATTCAATGGACTTTTTCATTTTTTTTATGAGATTGCAAATCCATATCCAAGCAGGTGGAAGGGCAAATGTGAACTATCCGCAGTGATCTAGGATTGTATATTCAAGTTGTGACCTTAACTTATGTTCCAGTTTCTCCCTTTCTAAAACACCTTTCTTAAGGAGGGTTCAATTTGGCAGGATAGCGACCGAAATTTGGCTCCTAAATTGTACCGTTGCCAGTAACTTTACTTTTTACTCGCAATCCAATTTGAACGTACTTCTTGTGCGTGCTGATTTATTTTTGCGTAATTGAATTTTCTAACAACTTGACAACATTTTTTTCTTCAGCCTAACAAAAACACCTTCAATTCATTCAACCAACTTTGATACCAAGTGTGATATTTTGAGCTAAAGGAACTATTCCTACCCCGAAATAAACGAATAATAAATGCTGGTAAATAAATGGTCAATTAGCTTTAACTCTCAACAAATAAACGAAGTTTAGCAATTAATGCTAACAAAAGTATTTGCAGTTTAAAAAAATCGGGTATTTTGTTTTGTGTATATTTAACTAGCTTTAATCCGATTCGAGCCATTTGCATCAAAAAACATCCGGCAAAAGCTAAGCGATTATTTGTATAAAGAGTAAATTTATTTTCAAACTGTATCCTCTTGATATGAGTAGGTGCTCGGTTTTTATTTCGTCGTTTCCACAATGTTGTTTTAAAAAAACTTTGTTAAATAAAGAATATTTTATCAATGAAAGCGGGCGAGTTAATCGCATTCCAGTTGGTTTGGAGTTTATAAATGTGTCCTGATGCATGGTCTACGTTTCAGATGGTGTACAAGGCATTAGAGCAAATATTTAGAATAAAATTACTTTCAAATAATATAGTCAATACTATGAAAAAGATACAAAAATCGTTTCTTGTAGCACTTAGACGTAATCTTTTATGTTTTTTGCATCAACTTTTGTCTGAATTGAAAAGGCTATTGTTGCTTGTTTTAGACCATTTTTATATTTTTGCGGTTAGAAGCAAATTTTAATTGTTTCCGATTAGTTTACTGAAAACATTTTTTTTATGAAAAAAAACTGTCCAGGAATAATTTGGTGAATCGTTAGGATCTAAGCCAAATGAAGATATAAATGCAACTAGAGTTTAACTTACAACTAACAAAATATCATATGTAGATTACTTGTTGAAATAAGTAGCTTCCATTAAATCCTTGATTTCCTTTCCTTATCCTTTAATAATCCTAAATTGATATCAAGTGTATGATTGATCAGTTAATTACAATTCGAAATGAATCTTTTAATATCTTTTGATAGATTCGCCACTTATGAATGAAGTTGAGTGAATTGAGTTATAAAAGTGAAATATTTAGCACAATTAATAATTAAGGAGATAATTTTTGTGGCTTAAACAGGCCAATAATTTTTGGATCTTCGGCAGTGTATTTAATCCTTTGATTGAATATTTTCGGACTCTAAAATGTCTTAATTTGTATTTGTTCATCGTTTTCAGTTTCATCGACTCGGCTATTACTAAGTAAAAAATAA